TATATATATATATATATATATATATATATATATAAATATAGATATATATATATATATATATATATATATATATATATATATATATATATATATATATATATATATATATATATATATATATATATATATATATATATATATATATATATATATATATATATATATATATATATATATATATATATATATATATATATATATATATATATATATATATATATATATATATATATATATATATATATATATATATATATATATATATGTATATATATATATATATATATATATATATATATATATATATATATATATATATATATATATATATATATATATATATATATATATATATATATATATATATATATATATATATATATATATATATATATATATATATATATATATATATATATATATATATATATATATATATATATATATATATATATATATATATATATATATATATATATATATATATATATATATATATATATATATATATATATATATATATATATATATATATATATATATATATATATATATATATATATATATATATATATATATATATATATATATATATATATATATATATATATATATATATATATATATATATATATATATATATATATATATATATATATATATATATATATATAAATATATATATATATATATATATATATATAATTTTTTTTACATATTTCTATTCTACAGGCAAAGTAGAAGTCATTATGTTGATTTGTAAGTGCTGTTGCTGCTCTCAAGGCATTGCATTTATAAATAGATTTGCATTATATGAATCACCATGGACTACTTTCTAACTTTTTATTTTAGCTAGAATAGGTTCACCATGAATATATACATATAAAAAATGAGGTGAATTTTTATTCCATGCTGACTTTAAGCACACGCAGGAGATGGTTAAATATGTCTGACCTGCAGTCATAGGCACAACATCAGCTCGCAGAAGGAAGCGCAGTCGGCCTGCAGGTTTGTTGCCAATCTTGATATCCATATAGACTTGAGGATTGGTTCTGCCTTTTTTTGCTGGAGGTTCTCCCTGTTTAGGAACATAAAATGCCAATCAGAGAGTATTTACAGGCATCAGAGGGCAATTCAACACCTTTTAAGACCTTTTTAAGACTCTTTCAATACATTTTAAGGCCTTAAAACCACTTTAGGTTTCAACTGGAAACACTGGCGAGATTTTAACTTGTAGAATATTTACTGAATATTAATGTAAGAAACTAATCCAAAACTAAAACACTATTCATATACTGAATAAAAATTAATTTTATCTAATACAGCAGATTGACGCCAATAGAATTGCAGAAATAATGGTGTTGTCTTGGTTACTGCAGTAAACAAAATTGCATGATGTCAAATCTAGTAGGATTTCATAAACTACACAGC